TTTTTTTTTTTTTTTTTTTTTTTTTTGGTACTGGGGATTGAACTCAGGTCTTTGTGCTTGTGAGGCAGGTAGCAGCACCAGTGAGCTAAACTCCCATCCCAAGAGCTTATTTTAAATATTTTTATCCCATCATCCTTTGCAATGTAAAATAAGAAGCTAGACAAAGATTCAATAAAAGAAGTGATGTTTAGGGTTGGGAATTTAGCTCACTGGTGCTGCCACCTGCCTCTCAAGTGCAAGGTCCCGAGTTTGATTCCTGGTACCCAAAAAAGAAAGAAAGAAAAAAAAAGAAGTGATATTCACACTGAGTGGTGACAGAAAGACAACGGCTTTTGGTGGAGAGAAAAGAGTTTCTCATAAACAAAAGGGCAGAAACATAAAAAGATGCATAGAAAATGGTATAATGTGTTAAATACAATGCAGGAATTTCTGTATAACTTAAAGTAGAAAAATAGTAACAAAAAATGGAGAATAGCCAAAATTGAAAATGGGAAAATGGACTAGGAAATTGTCATTTTAACATTTACAACCTCAATGAGTAAGCACTTTAAAATTAATTTTATTAGTACATATTAGGTATACAATATAATTAAATTCATCATTGGAAATTTATACCCTTACATAATTTATCTTTTTTTTTTTTTTTTTTTTTGTAACAGGGATCAAACTTGGGTCTTTGGGCTTGCAAGGCAGCCGGAAGAAACACTGAGCTAAATCCCCAGCTACATAATATATCTTTTTTTGGGGGGGGGCAGGGTCTCACTACATAGTTGAGACTGACCTGGAAGACATTATGTAGTCCAGGCTAGTTTCAAACTCACAGCGATCCTGCTGCCTCAGCCTGCGGAGTGCTGGAATTAGAGGCGGGCGCCACAACGCCTGCATTGATTCTTTTTTTTTCCCACATTCTCCTACCCTTCCATCAACCCCTCCACCCCTCCCTGTTTACTAAAACTTTGAGAAAAGTAAAAGATGAGCCAGCATTTTTCAAGCCTCTATTTACTTCCTATGTGCCAATATGTCACTCATTCAATCAAAGCACATGTCCAATCAGTGAATGTGGGGGAAAGAACCACCTGTATATGTGGTCCCAAGAATACATGTTAAGACCTTTTCTGGAAAAGCATACTGCAAACCTCTAGAAACTTCATCTGTAATCATTGTCCGAAGGATAGAAATGCAGCTAGACCTGCCCTGATACAAAGAGAAGATCTGTGGTCCAGAAAGATAGCACTGTTTCATTCTGTATTACCCTTGGTGTTGTATGGATCTGAGTGCAGTCCTAACACTCTGAAGATCTTTGCAATCATTAATACCTGTTGTTACCCCAATTAGCCCCAGCATTGGCATCCAAGGGACTCTTCACAGTGCTTTTGAATTTAGCACTATGTTGAAAATATCTAACAAAGGGTGGATTTGCATTGCTCCTGTACCCTGTCCAGTATCCATAAAGGAAGCCTTAGAAAAAGCCCTCATAACGTGTAGAGACACATGCCAGAGGACAGCGGCATGAGATTTTTCACAGGACTAAAAGAAAGCAGAGTCAACCGAGACTACTATATCCAGCTGTTCAGGAGAGATAAAGAATTCTCAAACCAGCAAAAGCTGAGGAACTATCTCTCAACCAGACCTATCACATAGGAAATGCGCAAATGAGCTTACATTAATTGGCTATTTATCACAAAGTGCCGGAGATAGAGCTACCTACAAAGGAAGATGTATTTTGACTCATTGCTATGGTTCAGTCCATCCTTCTACCATCTTGCTGGGTCCTTCCTCTACTTCCTCCACTGGCACCTTGCTCCCACCCTCAACTATGATTTTCTCACTTGCACTTAGTTCAGCCTCAGGCCTATATAACCAATGAGATTTTTAATTACCATAAACAGAGATGCCTCCAGAACTGTAATGAGAATAGGAAAAAATGCACTAATAATGTCCAATATGCAGCTAGTGAACGCTTTTGAATACCAGGAAAATGAGCCCACAGAACTCCTCAGCGGGGTCAGCATGGCAGAACTTTAGAGGATGTAAAGGGATCTTTTCTTGTATGTTCTTTCCTTATTGCTTTTTAGAAGAACAAATGAAATATTTTAAAAATACGTGTATCTAAAAAATTTGGGCTTACTATGCATCTATCCCTAAAGGAGCCAATTTTACAAAACCGACACTGTTTTAAAATAGAGGATTTGAAAGAAAGGTGGATGTTTCTCTGTTTCCTTTTTTCTCATTTACTATATTTTTGTAATACATGATCAAAACAGTCACATCAGGGAATTGTTACATATTACATGTTAATCATCTGAGCAATTCCTTGAATGCAGATAAAAGATTAAAAAGGCATTGCCTCATATTAGGTTTTATAACAAGGTGAAAATTGGACAAGGATCCGATCTACCGATTTACAACTCCTCTTTGTCCCTCTTCTGACTCTTCCTTGGTTTAATCCTGCAGTGTTACAGTTATCAGAATACTATAAAAATACCCCATTATTTACTGAAAAATAAAAAGTGTGACTTAGTACCCTCTAGGAAGAATTCTAAACAATTATAAGGATCTCCTGACCCAGGAGAGGGCACTGTCCTTCAATGCATTTGCTGTATGTGTCCTGCTTTTTTGTCCCTCTGCCTGATAATCTATTTTCATAACAATTGGTTAAAGTACCTACACCTTCTTTATTTTTAACATTTTTGAGCTTATATTAGGTTTTTTTCCTACTTACAAATTCTTGTTCCATTTTCGAAACAAAAACAAATCAAAACTAAGAACAGCAACAAGAACAGAAAACAATCACACAAATACTGAAAGGGGATTCAATGCACTTGGACCACTAAAGGAGGATGCAATCCCTAGGATCAAGGCTTACATAAAACTTGCATATAAGAATCTTTGTTTTTTTCTTTTTGTTTTTGTTTTTTGGTGCTGGGGATTGAACTCAGGACCTTGCACTTTTGAGGCAGGTGGTGGAACCACTGAGCTAAATCCCCAGTCCATTGCTTATAAGCATCTTAAAATTTGATAGCATAAAGGTTTTATCTGATCTTACATAATATATACATCTTATGTGCTTGGTTGGATCTTTTTGTGTTTGGTTACATGTTATCCTTCGAAACTTTTATTTAAGGTGGCTTATAATTAAGTGGATGCTATATAAATGATTTTTTTACATGGTTTAATGAATGAGTTTTTAAAAATGGTAGAAAAATAAAAGTTAAAATGTCTTTGAGGTTACTAACAGACATTTTTCCTAGGTTATTAGCTAATCTGGATAATATTTATTTTTGTTAAAAGTCATGTTGCAGTGTCCATTGCTTTGGATACTTGGCATGGAAGGACATTGGGGGGTTCTTCTGTGGTTTAACATATATCGCTATGGTTGTGATGTAGGATGTTCCCCCAATGATTCATGCGTTCAGAGATGAGGCTCTCTCAAAATGGGACCGGATCATAGGACACTAGACTAACCAGTGAGTTAAACCACACATGAATCTATAACTGAATGTGCTGTCAGGACGTGGGCATGCTTAGAAGAGGAGGTTTACTGGGAACACAAACTAGAAACATTTATCTGTCTCTGAGATCCTCTTTTATCTTTCTGCTGCCAGACTGTCCCGATGTGATCAGGTTTCCTACACTTTGTCCCCAGTGCGCATCCTGTTTCTGCCATGCAATTAACTGACCATGAGTTAAAGTAAGCCTGTGCTCATTTTAGTTGCAAATGCCAGTTACTTAGGTTCAGTGACAAAGAAAGGGAATAAAGATAATTTTGATATTCAGAGCAAGGTTACTCTCATGATAATCCCTGACCATGTAGTGCAGAACCCTTTGCAAGTGGCTTCTGATGGAGTTTGGAGAGGTTTGGACACGCTGTCCAGAGAAGTCCCCGAACGCTGGTAGCCAGGCTTGATAGGGATGTTTGGCCAGAGCTCAGAATATTGAAATCCCAAAGAAATTAGCACTGGACTTGATGCTGGGTGCTTTAGGTCCTGGCAGTAAATTTGCCTACATTTTTCCCAAATCCTGAGACTTTTCAGGAGACTGAAACTAAGTGAAGGGAAGTAGATTACCCAGTTTGTAAGAACAAAAGATCAAAGTGTTAGTGGGGACAAAGAGGGGAAAAAAAAGATGGGTAGAAAGAACATAAGAATACTCCTAATTGACAGAAAAAATGGCAGAACTGACTGGAAGGATGTTGTTCGGGACCTTATAACCGCCGAGTGAACGTAATGAGTACCTGCCCAGACAGCGCTCTATTGTCCTCGAAGGACGCTGACGCGTCCGGGTGCAATGTGTACTTTTGTGTAGGGGAGCAACTTGAGGAGCAGGGAAGCATGGCTATTGTGGATCAAAAAACTATGTTCAAGGGATTGGTAATGTTTGAGGATGTGGCTATAGACTTCTCTAAGGAAGAGTGGGAATGCTTAGACCCTTCTCAGAGAAACTTATACAGAGATGTGATGTTGGAGAACTACAACACCTTTATATCACTGGGACTTGTCACTTCTAAGCCATCAGTAATTTACCTATTGGAACAAGGGAAAGAACCTTGGGTGACTGGAAAAGCGGAATGGTATCCAGATTTGCAGTCTTGGTGTGAAACTAAGGAGTTAGCTCTAAAGAATGGTATTTTTGAAACAGGATCATTAAAACGGGAAATAATGAACAGAACCACAAGTTCCCCTTGCCTTGAGGGGGAATCTTATTTTGGAACTGATTTGAAATGTAATGGACACTTTGAAAAAGAAGAGGAATTTAAAGAGGAATGTATCCAGTATATGACAGTGCCATTTGAAAAACTATCAGTTGAATTCATTCAGCCTACATCATTGGTTCCAAATGAAATAATTCAGCCTACATCACTAGTTCCAAGTGAAATAATTCAGCCTATATCACTGGTTCCAAATGAAATAATTCAGCCTGTAAATGAACACTATGAACAGAAAAAGTATGAAAACCTCACTCAACAGGTAGGAATTCATTCTAGTGACAAACTTAATGAAATGTGTGAGAAAGCCTTCATATTTTACACAAATCAGATGGAACATCAGCAAAGTCTTCCTGGAAAGAAATGTGATGAATTTAAGGAACATGGCAGAGAATTTTCTTATGACTTCCAACTCACTCAATATCAAATAAATTATAACAAACCCTATGAATGTCAGATATGTGGAAAGAGCTTTAGAAAGCGTGCCCTCCTTACACAACATAATCGAATTCACACTGGCGAGAAACCATATGAATGTAAGGAATGTGGGAAAGCTTTTATTTGCTGTTCAACACTCATTCAACACAGGAGAACTCACTCTAGTGTGAAACCCTATGAATGCCTGGAATGTGGGAAGAGTTTTCGACGGAGTGCACACCTCACTCGACATCAAAAAATTCATACTGATCAGAAACCCTATAAATGCACACAGTGCTGGAAGGCATTTGCTTCTCTTTCTGACTTTAATAGACATCATAAAATTCATACTGGTGAGAGACCTTATGAATGTGCAGAATGTGGGAAAGCATTTAATAGTCGTTCAACTCTTACTCAACATCAGAGAATTCACACAGGTGAGAGGCCCTTTGAATGTAAGGAATGTGGCAAGGCATTTAATAATTGTTCAACTCTTACTCAGCACCAGAGGACCCATACTAATGAGAAACCCTATGAATGCCAGGAATGTAAAAAGACTTTTAGACAAAGTGCACATCTAAGCAGACATCAAAAAATTCATAGTGGTGAGAAACCATTTGAATGTGCTATATGTGGGAAGGGCTTTACTTGTGTTTCTGACTTTAACAGACATCAACGAGTTCACACTGGTGAGAAACCCTACGAATGTAAGGAATGTGGGAAAGCCTTTAATAATTGTTCAACTCTTATTCGACACCAAAGAATTCACACTGGTGAGAAACCATATCAATGTGACCAGTGTGGAAAAGCATTTATATCTGGTTCAACATTTTTTCAGCATCAAAGAACACATACTAATGAGAAGCCCTATGAATGTCAGGTATGTAAAAAGACATTTAGGCAAAGTGCACATCTAACTAGACATCAAAGAACTCACACTGGTGAGAAACCCTATGAATGCTATGACTGTGGGAAGACCTTTACTTGTTTTTCTGATTGTAATAGGCATCAGAGAATTCACAGAGGTGAAAAACCCTATGAGTGTCAAGTATGTGGGAAGGTCTTTAATAATTGCTCAACTCTTAATCAACATCAGAGAATTCATACTGGTGTGAAACCCTATGAATGTAAGGAATGTGGAAAGTCTTTTACTTGGCTCTCAAACCTAAATAAACACCAGAAAATTCACACTGGTGAAAAACCCTATGAATGTAAAGAGTGTGAGAAGGCTTTTCTCTGTTATTCAACTTTTGTTCAACACCAGAGAACTCATACTAATGAGAAACCCTATGAATGTCAGGAATGTGGGAAGGCTTTTAGACAGAGAGCACATCTTATTCAACATGAAAGAATTCATACTGGTGAGAAACCATATAAATGTAAGGAATGTGGAAAGGCCTTCTCTTGTGTTTCCTACTTTAGTAGACATCAGCGAATTCACACAGGTGAGAAACCATATGAATGTAAAGAATGTAAGAAGTCCTTTATTGATTGTTCAACTCTTATTCAACACCAGAGAATTCACACCGGTGAGAAACCCTTTGTATGTCAGGAATGTAATAAGGCCTTTAGGCAGAGGGCACATCTTACTCAACATCAAAGAATTCACACTGGTGAGAAACCCTATGAATGTAAGGAATGTGGGAAGGCCTTTACTTGTCTTTCACAGGCGAAAAAGCATCAGAGAATACACACATGAGGTGAGAAATTATATGTGTTTCAATATTGTCTTTTATTTATTTAATAGTCATTACTCAACAGTACCAAATAAATATTGGAGAGAAATGTTAGAGATATCAGAAACATGGAAAACAATTTTATCTATCCCTCTTTTTTTTTTTTTTTT